AAGAGTGATAAGATGGACAGTCGTGCCCATATCATCCGTCTTTATCACTCTTGCGTCTAGCACGGAAGAGAACCACAAAAACGTACACATTACCTACGCGAATAAGGGTACAGCTAAAACGCGTTCATGACCACTCTCAGATTGGATCCTCATGCAGACACCAGCGATATATAGATTTGATATAGATGATTGGTGAAAAATGAGTAGTGGGGATAAAACGGCGAATGAATCTTTACTATTTACTCCCATTATCCGTTTTTCACCAATCAGCGCTCGGTGTTAAAGCGCCGGTATCTGCATGAGGATTCACGCTAAGGCTTCTCTCTGGTCATAGACATATGAAATATATAGAGAGTCTTTGTACGAGGAATAATTGATATTTGCGGTAAGGGGAGCACTTCGGCACTCGTCTGACTTCGTTTATTTTCGTAAGTTCTCGAATATATTCGATTTCTCATGTGACTCATATTGTAATCAATGATTCTTAATTTAACTATGGTTCATAAAAATATTTTAAACTAATTAATAATTAAACATGCTGCTTTCGTTATTTTATATAAAATATTTTCTGTTGTTTCTTAAGACAAAATAGTTTTTATAACTCAGAAAAATAAATGTAAAGGGTTTTATATAACATGAAGAAAATTCAAAGTCACTGATACAATTTCGCATTCTAAAAATTGAAAAAAAAATCTTATTTAATATTCATATATTGAATATATTATATTTTTATAAATATAAAATCTTATATATTGCCTGTTATTCTTATTAAACACTCTCCTTAATGTAGGGAGATAGGCTGGTTGCACACAGGATGCAACAAAGCGGCAACGCGACAACATGGTAACTTGGTAACGCGGTAGCCAATCACGTCTTGTCTTCTGAGATATAACTTCGTTATATATTAGAAAACAAGATGGCGTTGCCGCGTTGTCGCTTTGCCGCGTTCTTTGTGCAATCAGCAGGTGACACCTATTTGATCACGTTCCGATTAATCACTAGCCATTCATAGAGGCCAGCATCTAGAATTTTTCCACTGTTCAAGCGCTATGAGCTAGTGATCAATCGGGACGTGGATGTCATCCGCAACCAGCCAGAGTAATGTAAATTTTTATAAAAAGGTTGGATAAAATGCACTACTCAAATGGAGCACAAAACTATGCTGCTTTTATAGAGCGAAGTTTCATTTGCACATAATGCGATTTATTAATCGATGAATTATAAAACTCGCCGAATATTAGTGAGTCTATCCGAACCGATATCAGACGAGTGCCCCTTGTCCCATATATCAGAACCTCTCTTTCTAAAATGGCATCTTATGCTCGGTCTATATATTTCATATGTCTGTTCTATTAATGTAGATCTCATTCCGTTTAGAAAGGAGTATTTTTTTAAATATTTTTAACACAATTATTTAATTATATCAAATCATATTATAGTTGACAAATTAAAGATTGATGCGGTCATGAGTAATCAGTATCTATCAGTTGCAGCATGAGTAATCAGTATCTATTCGACTTAATTAATATTTACTATTCAGTTTACTATTCAGTCGTATTATAACTCAATTTTCAAGGATTTTTGGAAATAAAAGTGTTGCTAAAAATAGTCTTTTTAAAAGGAAAATTTAGATTTCCTAGTTGTTTTATTGCTATCAGTGAACTTTATATTATATTACTATTATAATATAATCAATCAGATTTATTTCATTTCATATATAGAAATAATTGGGAAGTTTTAAATAGATTTTTAAATGGGGGCTGTAACATGAATGGCAGAAGAGAAATCATTGGCAGCCATATTGGTTGGTAGTTATTTTCATCTTTGATTTCATTTCTATTTATTATAGTTGTAAAAATACCTGAATGGATTGTTAAATAGACTTTTAGGCAAGAAAAACTATAACGTGAACGGTAAAGACAAAATTGACTGGCAGTTATGTTGATAGTCATTTATTCTCTGATTTTACTTTCTTTTACCTTCGGTCTACTAGATATATGGTTTGCTTCGTGTTGACTTCTTTGATCTCTTTGACCATGTGATCACTCCGCTATGTTCTTAATTAGAAATTCAAGCAAATAAAAAGTAGTATTGTTTTATTTGTTCTATCTGGAACATTGATTTACATCTGGAAACATGAATAATACATTCAATTTTGTAGGTATATATCTCAGAATGTTAATTTACAGTATAATCAGTGGTGGTATGTTGGTATTATCTATGTTAGTACTTTTGATCTTCACTTGCTAATACACATGACTATTTCAATAGTTGTCAATCTAGTATCAAATAGAAAAATAGGAAGTTTCCCCTACTCGACGACCAACTTAAGCATATTCATGCATACTCATTAAACTTTTTGTTCATGGACGTCTTATACATGGACTTCGTATACGATCAGAAAAGTGAAGCTAACATAGCCCCTCTATCGAGCTCCTCTGTTCTCTATCTCTTTTTACATGGACAAATGTAAGAAAACCACAGTAAGAAAACCAGCCCCTCTATTTTCGCTCACTTTCTAGATGTTGGCTTCACTCGATTAGAACGGCAGAACAAAGGGCATTCGGAGTCCATGTATACTAAGTCCAGTTTTTGTTGCGTCTGATATCTTTGTTATTAAATATAGAGATTTTTACAATTTATAAATATTTTTATAGAATATTTTATATTTTTTATCTCAAAATATGCTGTATCTCACTTCACTATATATACATATATAGTGTAATGATCTGTCTTGCAGATAACTATAATGCCAAGCGTTTTCCTGATTTAAACTCAACTTTTTATGTAACTTTCAGTAGTATTATTGAATATCTTATTTAAAAAATATGAGAAATGATATCTATTTTACTTTTCCCAAGCACAGTAAAAATAGGCCTTTCCATAATATCTTTATTTAGTTTATTATGTTTCTATTGGAAGTAGAATAGCAAAAGATATGATATTTTTTGTAAGGTAAACTTACAATTCTTATTTTTGGAATGTAAATAAACATAATTTAACATAAATAATCTTTGAAGAATTGACAATTTTACATGAGTAAAAAGAAAAGGATGATTATTGAAATACTATGTTTATTTTTTTATTCTAACGACTAACAAACAGTACTTATGTAGTTATGAATAAAGTATAATAGAGGTTAGCATTACCTATTTTTACTAGTAATTGAAATTTGTTATTGGTCTGGTGAAATTTGTGGGAATGGGAATAAAACTAGATCGAATATCTTTTCACTGATTTAAATTTTGTTATACACTTTAGATCCGAATTATGACTTCAATGGAAATTATATTATTGCAGTTAAGAAACTAAAATTATAAAATTAGATTTCTTTTTCATTTTATTCTAACAATTTTTGATTAATTGATATTTTTTTAGTAATATATTTTGTTTTATTTATACCTATATTAAGCCAGTAAAATAATAAAAAAGGATAGAGATAGATTCTCTAATAGACGAAGGAAATAATTGAATGGAATCGATAGTATCACAGGGGTAAAGCACAAAAAGTAAAGGGAATGATAGGTTTATTGTAACAAATATGAGAGATCATTACGGCGATAGTGACGAATAATTTCACAGAGATATTATATAATGTCTGATCTGTTATAATATCAAGAAATGTAAAAATAGACAAAAGTTGAAGTACCATGGCCTCAACGAGTTATTTCCTCATTTCTCAGGCTTTCCCACACCTATAAAGATATTTTGTACTCTGTCTAGGTATTTCCTATGTCTAGGATCTTTTTCCCCATCTTGTTCTGATTTCTCCCATTTAAGTAAACATTCTAATGTAGAGAGATTTACCACTACTATTCAATTTCCTACTATTACAGTCAAATATCTTTAATAAATAAGTATTTACCGATATGTTTAAATATAGGGAACGTATAATATAGGTATTTTTGATTAGGAGATTCCATTTACTCACGTCCCAATTACATTGGGATGTCCACTGAGTACATCCCATTTATGGGAGGGTCGTGTTAATATGCATTCACTTATATCGGCTGATGCTCAGAAACTTTCCAATGAGAAAATTTTATATTTGGCTAATTAGTTGGCTAATTAGTTGTGTGCTACCAAATCTCTCTTTTTTATTTACTCTTTCAGACACATTCTTGCTTCCCTAATCAAATATTCACTCAGACGATGCTTAAAAATTTTACCAATATAACTTATCATATTTATCATATAACTTATTCCCTAGGGGAAAATTGTGAAATATGAAAATTTTTAGTATTAAAGGTGGACAAAATTTATACTTTTCATTTTTTTATCTTAGGGAAAAGATTACATGATCGATACTCAGTAGACAATTGATCGATAAAATAAATTATTTTGAATTTTAAAGAAAAATATTAAGAAAAAAAGGTTATTAGTCAATTAATTTTAAAATCTTTGGCAAAACTAATAATAGGAACATAAATCGAATGAGTGGGGGGGGGGGAGCGGGAGGTAGGGGGAGGAAGAATGGGAGAGAGTGGGAGAAAGTGAGAGAGAATGGGAGAAATGGTGGGAAAGGGTGGAGGAGAAGAGAGAAGGAGTAACAAATCAGATGAAAAAGAAAAACGGAAAAAGGAACTAGGAAGGAACTAGCAAAGAGAAAATCCTGCTTTTGCACTTATTAATATAGATAGGCAGAATAGTCATGTAACGTGAGAAATAGAAATCAAAGATACTGATACAAAGTACCTATACTGGTTATACTGTAATACAATCTATGTATGAGATAAAGTGTAATTATGAAATATTGTTATTATTAACGGATATGGAGGTAATTCACATAGCACTATGTAATGTCGTATATTATGATTTAAAATAAATTATCTTGAATTTTAAAGAAAAATATTAAGAAAAAAGATTATTAATTATAGTTAATTAATTTTAAAATTACTTTTAGGTACAAAACTAATAATTGGAGCATAAGTCGAATGAGAGAGA